CGGGCCGCGGGGGGTCCGCGGGCGGCCGCGGAGCCGAGGCTGCGGTCGTTTATTGCCGGAGGAGGGGAAAATTTACCTGTTACGCCTTATTTATGCGTGTCTCTCTTCGACCCCCGTGCTGAGAAGTAGCTCCTCGCAAAAGAGGCAGAGTTGCTCTTTTCTTAAAAAACGGGGGGTTGGCGGGGTGTGTGTGTGCATGTTGCTTCTGCGGGTGCGTGGGGCTGCCAGGCTGCAGAGCCTGCACGGAGAGAGGGCGAAATCCTCGCGATTTGTCCCCAGTGTTCCTGGAAAGAGGGTATAAGAAAGCTGGAGAGCGTGAGCTAACTCCTGTGCTGCAGCGTGACTAAGTCTGGGGAATGCTAAACACAGGGGGAAAAAAAAAAAAAAAAGGGGTTAAATAATTCCCCTGGCCTGGGAAGGTGGTTATTCAGAACAAAGAGTTAGCACAGCAGTGTTTAAGAGGACGTTGGTTTTTTGCCTGCACTGCAAATAAATCTTTGGTCAAACGAAGCTTTCCTGTACCTCTTACATGTCTTGTAAATGAGACGTTCACAGAGCGGGTTTTGTTTTGTTTGAAGAGGAAGGGACGGTTGGAACAAGTTCTGTTAGCATGCACATTTGGAAACTTAAGACAGGGAAACTTGGGATTCAGATCAAGAAGACACAGTCCCTCTGTGCAAACATTTCATTAAACTGTTTGCTAACCAACAGCAAGTATGTTAACATTTATTTAATAGAAAAGTGTGTCAAAAGGCTTTCCACTGTTTGCATTTTTAAAAAGCCAGGAGTTTTTCTGCTAGGTTGCAGGGACTTTTTGGCTGGCCTCTCCTTAGCTGAGGAAGTGGCACCAGGCACCAGTGCTCCAGTTAACTGGCTGCTATGAGAGTAGGAGATGCCTTATTATAATGATTTATGTGCTGCTCCCAAGCTGTGACAATTTGAATGAGAGTTCAGAGGTGCTCACTGGAGTTTTAAATCTCATTGGAACATGGAGGAGCTTCCCTCATCACATGAACTTGGCTCTGCATGTTCATCCTTAACATGAATAAGAAACGAGCTGCCTCTCCTCCATACTTGAGAGTTGGTGTCCTCTAATGGAGGGGTTGTGCTTTCATCAGTGACTGTTAGAGAAGGAGAAAGGGGAAGACAGAGCTGCACTTGGCTGAAAATCTTTCCATTTTCAGCCTAAATGGTCAAGATGCCGAGTTCCTGTTTCTGCATTCTTGGCTGAGGGAGAACTCCAACTTTGAAATAAGTGGGAGCTTTGAGTCCTTAAAAAGTGCAAAGTAGGACCCTTACAGTTCATGTTTTGAGAAGTGAAGGTTGTAAACCTGGGGTGCAGGAAGGAAGAAGCGCTCTGAACCTGTGTGACAGTGCTCACCTCCTCGTGGGGACCGCTCCAGTTTCAGCTCTAAACCCAACACTCCCCAGTACACATCATCTCCCTTACACACATCTTAGGTCCAGTGTCGCGTGCTACACATTCGGTCCCTCCTAGTTTAGAGAGAGTGCTATAAATCAGTACGGAGTGGTGTACATTACAGCAGCTTCTTACAGCAACTGTAGTAGGCCACTGATTTACTTTCCAGTTCAGTGGTTATTTAGGCATGGATGTGTTATCTAGTAGGATGCATGTGCAACCCTTCTAAACTGCTTTGTAAAAGAGAGCAAGTAACTGTCATAGCGGCTTTGTTTCTGTTAGGAGAGTGTAAAGCTAACATGGCACCAAGTTTTGTGAAAACGAGTTAATCAAATATGCTTTACAGTTTAAAATGCAGCATTACAACCATTCCAAATCGAACTGTAAGAAGTGCTATTGAAACATGATGGTCTATCTAAAATGAAATGACCAGCCTGGTAGTTATTTAATGCACATAAAGAATATTTCTACTTATTTTTGGTAGAGGAGGCAAACTAATGAAGCACACTGATTGCAGAAAAACTAGCATAGTATTTACATTTAGGAGATTCAGGTTTATAACATTTTATTGTGTCATTTCTTGCAGACTTCATTGAGAATGTGGAAAAAAAATACCACTGTTTAAAAACAGGACATTAAACCACCAAAAATATGTTCAAATACCGCTGAGAGTCTGAGTTAAACCCACAAAAGCCAGGAAATTTAGACTTAAGACTTAAACTTCCTTAATCCATTTGCACTGGGAGTTGGATTTTCTGATCAATTATGTCCATTGCCAGCAGTGGCTACACTAAAACCACCGGTACCAAGATGTTAACTCAGATCCCTCCTCCTCACATTCCTCCCCTGTTCCTGTGTATTGGCAGTGCAACTGGACTGCCAATGCTGAAATATTTGGAGTTGATGGGCTACGGGAACATGGGCTTTCAGGTTTAGCACTGAATTTCTTGGCTTTTGTGGTTTCTCAGTGAGTCATCAAGTATAATTTTAATACAGATTTCCAGGATGTTCCTTGCACATCAAAAAAAAAAAAAAAAAAAAAAGTGGTCAGCAGCCAAGGCAGCAACTAGTGGTACTTAGCTACTTGGCTGATAGGAATATCCAAACTTGAAAAATTCCCTGGAGGAAATGCAGCCAGTTGCAGTTACACTACAGGAGTCTCGGGGGAAATGCAGTGTAGACAAATACCTCAGAAGGTATAGGAACACTGGGCTTATGAAGTATTTTGGATAAATGTGTTTCTCCTGTATTTTTGTGGATGGTAGTTTAAAGATAAAATATTTTTGAAGTTCATGGTGAAAGCAGGTGTTTTTCCTTTGACACCGATACAGGATGAAGCATTTTTGTCCGTTACCTTTAAAGTGTATTTTGTACACCCTAGAAATGGTTCTGAGTTTAATAGCAGAAGAATAAAAACGTGCTAATTTTTTTCCATTTCCTGTTCTGAATGTAGAATAAGATTAAGAAAAAGTGTTAAAAATAGCTAACTAGAACCATGAAACAGCATGGTAGAATTTATTGTATTAACTCCTCTTATTAAAAAAACAAAAACCAAAAAACCAAAAAAACCCAAACACAACAAAAAAAACAAACCTTCCCGGGGAAGACAAAGAGTCACAGTGCAGCCCATAAGTTACCCGAGCCAGCCGCGTCGGACTGGAGTTGATTAAATCAGCCGCGGGTCAGCGGCGGCCGCGGAGGGGAAGGCTCCGCGCCCCCGGCGCCGGTGGGGCTGCTGCGGGCTCCCGCGGCCGCGGCCGCTCCCGCGGTGGCGCAGAGCTGCCCCCTCCCGCTGGCAGGAGGAACGGCCGCGGCCGCCGCGGGGCGAGAAACGGGGCGGCGGGTCCCTTGCGTGGCTGCCGGCAGCGAGCGCAAAAGGCATCGCCTGGCCGCAGAGGGGCTGGTGCATGCGGAGCGCGAAGCTGTTCGTCTGTCTCTGTATCGCAGTTTTGTAAAGGAAAACGAAGCACGTGGACTAGTCTAGTGGCTGATCGCTCTTCCCGGCACAGCTGGCAGTTGATTAACATTGTTCTTTTGATGTATTTGTTCTTCTCGAAGGAAACTCCAGTGATTCAGAAGAAGAAGACCGGAGTGCCAGCAGCATCGAAAATCAGGCCATCCCAAACCCTCACAGGGTGCCCGATTCCAAATCGCATCCACCACACATCAAAATAGACATCATCAGGAAAGTGCAGGCCAAAAATACGCAGCGCTATAAAGTGGAATATGATTCGCAGAGTACAGATACACTGAATTTCTCTTCTGAATCCAAGCAAGAGACTGAATACGTAAGTACTTTTGTAAATGGAAAGGCACTTCCCAGCATGTGACTGTGCATGTGTATGCATATGCATATTGTGTGTACAACAGGGTGAATAAACTAAATAACTAAAGGGTGGTAACTGTTGTAGCCATTTAGAATGTTCTGGCTCTTTAAGCAGTCAAAGTATTGGATATGCAAATGCAGACAATCAGCAGGCCGAGCAGATCACATTCAGAAAACATGGAGGCTTAACAGTGACATTTACATTGATCCAAGTGTAGTTTTCACTAAGTTACTACTTGAGAGGTGGAAAGTTCTTGTTCCCCCCATAATTGTCACTCGTTTGTGTGAGTGGACTTGGGACAGGTTTAATAGTGTCATTAAATATGCTTGCAAACAGCATTATTGGGTTGCAATAATGGAAAAAGGATGTTTCACATTCAGCGTAGTGACACCGTGTTCACACTCCACAGCGCAAATCAAGGGAGATAAACTTGAGCTGTGTTCAGGGTTAGGATGGTGACCTGTCAGTCATTGTTTGTATGAGGTGCTGGTCAGCACCTCCACTTGCAGTCATTGCTTGGTGCCGCTGCATAAATGCAAGGGCTCCTGGACACATGAGCTGCCATTCTTCCTACTGACTGTGCCCAGTGGATTTGCAGGGCAGCTGGAGTGTGGTGAATCTTGAGGGGAGAATAATTCTGCTTCCTGGATGATAACCCAGCGGTTGTCCTTGTGCCAGATGCCTGGATATACTTTGGCATTTAATCAGAGCACTTTTGTTGAAACCGGACATGGCTTTCCATCTGCAAGAGAAGTTTTGAAAGCTGTGTGAGGTGGAAAGTTGTGTCTGAAGAAAGTGTGGCCTCCAAGTTAATACAGCAATGGTGGTGAAGCTGCGTGTTTAGTTTGTCACAGATGTCAGGTGGTCTCGTAAAAACACTTCAGTATCTGCCTTCCAGCATCTCCTCCTCTCAAAAACGTGAAGTAAACTGCCTACAGTGAAAAACTGGACTTGAATAGCTCTAAGGAAATAGGGTTGTGGTCTTAACTAGCTAGGATGAACACTTCACTTATGTGATAGTTGGGCTCTGCGAGCAAAGGCGCACCAACTTACCAAGGCTGCTGGTGTCTGTAAGAATCAGATCAGTCCATCAGGGTCACAGGTGCCTTTGTCAGCAAATGCCCTTGTATTTGTTAGCTTTTGATATTGATCTCTCTGACTTTGGAAGCCTGCTTCAAAATAATAATTAAAAGAAAGCTGTTGATCTCTTTGTAGGCCTAGCTTGGGACCAAATGTTTGAATGTGTGTGATTTGCAGTCAGCATGTTTGAGCAGTTTTGGTTTTTAAGGAACTGCCAATAAGAGCAGTAATTTAAAGTGCATGTTTAGAGCTTGTGAGATTGATACTGAAAGAAAACATATGAAATCAGCAAGGAAGGTATTCGCTAACCAAAAAAATCAATTTTAAACTCTAGTAGAACTGTGGAGCCTTTATGCTTTCAGACACTCACATGAAAGGCACTTTACATGAGCAAACTATTATACTTTCAAGTGGTAATATTAAGTGTCATTACTTCACTAATTAAAAATTGCATCAAATGAGTCTTTGTGTTGATACAGCAACTTAAATGTTTTAAACCCATGCAGCCATGCAAAGGAATTTTTTCGGGTCTCTGCTGAAGAAGTGGGCTCATGGACTAAGCCAGTCATGTGCCCGGACGGGAGCATAGCTAAGCACAGAGTTGAGTTTGTAGGCTGTGACTCTTGAATCCCATGGCTGACACTGACTGCCGCCTTGGCCTCTGGCAAAACGTGAACTCCTCCGCTTCTGGTTTTCTGACTACAGAGTGGGGATCCTAACACCATACTCCCTGCCCTGAAGGGCTGCAGTGAGAAATAATTAGTTGGCATTTGAGACATGCTCTTAAAAGTGCTTATGGAAGTTCTTTTTGGTTCATTGTCCTAGAGCTGATCCTCACTACATTGTTGTCGCCTTTTGCCGATGGAGAAAGTGAGGCAAAAAGTGGTGTACTTCTCTAATGAGACTGTTGTGTGCAACCATTCCTTTGCGTGGCTGCATCCATTTAGTCCAGTTGAAATTTGGAATTGTTGTCCAAAGTTGCAGTATTTTTATATATACCTATGCATTATGCCAAACTACTTGTTTTCAATTATATCCATTTAATTTAAGCTGTTGAATCCAGCAGAATCACAAAATTCAAATGGCATTAGGGAAAATCCACCAAGTGGTGTATTTCTAGTTGCCTACCTTCTTCTTTTCCTGCTTGATGCAAGGCCAGCTTTTCCAAACCTAAGTTATGTTATATATGATTGATTTACATACTGGTTAAGCCTTCCTGTAGGTATATGTGGCTGGGATTTCAACTGGAAATGCCAGTCTGTGCCTCAGCATAGCATAGGGCCTTCAGTCTTTAGAAATCAGTTTATCCTGAATAAAGCAGAAAGTCAAAATTTTATCTGTGAATAGTCTTGCCTTTTGACATATCCAGCCATCCCTTTGTTTTAGTGGATTTATTTGGGTTTGTGGTTCTTGCCCTTTAAAGATGTATTAACTCTTGCATGAAAGACCACTTTTGGGAATGAAGTTTCACTTATGTTTTCTAAAACACGCTCATTACAGGGTCCCTGTCGTAGAGAAATGGAAGACACTTTAAACCACCTAAAGATCCTGAATGTCTTGAGTCCCAGGGGCTTTCATATTCCAAATTGTGACAAGAAGGGGTTCTACAAGAAAAAGCAAGTAAGTATTGAGTCTTAATCATTTCAGTGAGTGCACTTCACCTTCTCTGCATCTTTGCTGAAGGATCTTGCCAGCAAGGTGCATTATGTATCATTTTACAGAGGGACTAGTTCATTTCCAGTTTTAGGACCTGATCTGATAGTGCTGAACCTTGCCAAGTGGGGACAGTGTTTTTATTTTCTGTTGGTCATGACAACAGATTCATTTGGGAAACTTCATACCTACTCACACGTTGGTTGGCTGGTGTCCTAGATACTAATGCCCTTTGGTTTAAAAAAAGCAGTGCCTCTGTAATAACCCACAGAGCTAAATGTTGCAGTTACCATATGACTGCAATAGATCAATGCTTTGAATTGTAAATAACTGCTTGAGTGTTCCTAGAAGAACCGCACTGGATCGTATTGCTAAAAGCAATTTGAGAAAGGTATGTATCTGTTCTTTATGTGCTACACAGATTGCTTCCAAAATCCAGGTCCTGTTATCGTGAAAGTGATACATCTATTAGTTACTTTGCAGCAAGGATGGTGTCTCAGCTCTCTTTGGTTCAGGGGTTGTGATCGTTCTTGATAAATATGCCTTAGTTGTGTTGGGTTGAGCTACGGCAGCATTTTCCATTCAGTGCTGCCCTTGAAGCTCATTCAGAAACTTGGGGAAGTGCAAGATGTGCCAGGTTCTTTGTGTAGTGTGCACATCCCATCTAATTCCAGTGTTTAGTTAGTGACCTGCCTCCAAATGTGTTTCTTGATATAATTCCAAAATTTCTTGAATTCAGAAGTTTCTTTCAAGATTTTCCTCAGGGCCAAACCTCTGTAAGGACGGATTTTGTTTGTGCACCATCTTATCTCTCCCATTTGGGTTTACAACGAGTCAGCCACTGCTTTAGGAAATAGGCAGTAAATCCATCAAAAAATGAGTGTGAGCTAGTCATTTTTATTTCTGGAAACAGCTGCCAAAACCACTGCCTAGGATGATAATGTAGATAGGGGTGTGATGGTAGGAATCTGATAAATTATGATCACCTTGGAAAGCATTAAAACTCAATTCAAGAGACACTTCACATGTTACTGTATTCTGCCTTCCTGGTCACCCGCTCTTCCAGTCAAGTTGAAAGCAGTTATTTTTCAAGACATTTGTGGGTATCTAGAAATTGACTTTTCAGGAAAAAAACATAGGGATTAATTTGCATGTGTGAAACAATTTTAAGAACATAAATTAGCCTGTCAGGGTATAACATGAAAAATATTTCTCACCTTGTGTTTATATATAAACTTTTTTAAAATCAGACCTATTAAAATTTAAAATTCTTTGTCTTAATAAATCACACACGTAAGGCTGTACTGTTCAACTGTGGTATATAGGTATATTTACGTGGAATAGGTTAATACAGGCACGTTTCTGCCTCAAGCGTGGAAAAAAAGGTTTTGATGAAATTAGAATTATTATATGGGGCAATTACTAGAATTGCCCCATATTTGTGTACTGGAGCCAGATACTTACCTAAATGTGAGTTGGCATCGTTCCACTGAAAACAGAGCTGGGCTTTGCGGGAGCCAGAATGGCCCGCGGTATATGTCAGTGCTGTCTACTGTCTGTTCCAGGAGACCACAGTTGTAGCTCCACGGAGACCTCTGGGATGACCAGGAATTCAATGGGATACCATATGCTTTGCTGTGCCCCACGAATGCCTCTGCGGCACTTCTTTGTGGAAGGGAGAGGGGCAGGTGGCATGGAAGCTGGCAGCTGGGGTTTCTATCAGAAGTAATTACTGGCTCCACAGCTTGGGCAGTTTTCCAGCTTTTTGGACTTCGGAAGTCATACAGAAGAGCTGGGCAGTCTTGAAATGTATGTGGAGTACAAAATTCAGAAGATGCAGATAGTTGTATTTTTTCCGTATGAACTATCCACCACTTCTGCAGGGAATGCAAGCTAGCTGCTTCAGGATAAAAGCATCACTTTTGAATCAGAAGTACTTTACTATTCATAGCATGGCTGAGCAAGTAGTACAAAATAGCAGATTGGAAAAGGTAAATTGCTTCCTCACAGAGCGTTATTTCAGCTGCAGAATGATCTAAGCGTTCTGTTTTCCAAATGGGTTGTCTACAAGAAATAAAAACCCTATTATTTGTAGGGAAGGTGTTCCTGCAGACTAACTTCACGTTGTAGTTAATTCCAAAAATCGATTATGGAACTGTAAAAAGCAAAACCTCTCAACAACATGAGATAACTTTAACTGATCATTTGGTTTGAGAGTGATGCAAGCTTATGAATCAGCAAGAGTTGTGTAACTTACTTCATATAGTACTTCTAAAAGGGGAGGCTGTGTTGCTATTACTAGCAGAAGTGTAGTTTCATTGCTGGAGCATCAGGCTGGCAGCCAGAAGCCCTATGCTCTAATTTGGGCTCCATATGTGCCTGCTGTCTTGGGAAAAAACAACTCAAGAACTGCTGCCTCAGTTTCCTTTTCTGTAAAATTTAAACTGTGGAAAGGCTGCTGGTTTTGAAGTCCTCAGTTTTGAGCATGAAGAATTTAAGTCACTAAGTCATCAATACCATTTACGCTAGAGTTGCAACCAAAATGAAGGAAAATTTCCCATTGATGTCACTGGACTTTGAGCAGCAATTCACAGAAATCCTGGAGAATACCTGCAAGCCCTGGTCAGGCTTCTGAGACAATAAATATAAGTTGTAGAACTTTAAGTTTAAAGATCTAGGAGAGAAGACCAGCCGAACGGGTAGAACTCAAATGCAGCTAACCACGTAGTTTAGCAAATTACTAATGCAGCTGTGCTCTCAGTAGGTTTGAACTTCTTCACCCTCCCCTAAAATAAGCTGATACGTAGTTTAAGTTTGATCTTGTCACCCTGCTGCTGTCAATTAGTATCAGGCTAATGCAGGACTGCAAATTCAGGGGAGAGAAGGCATTGTATTATTTCTGCATTGGGATTGTTACTCTAAAATGCATCACAAGGGTAGATTAATTTGCAGTTACAGTGATTAACATTACTTCATTTACTCTAAAATAAAATAAACAAGATGGAAGCTTGTTCAGAAATTTGTGTCTAATGCGTGATCTGCTCCCATCTCTTTTTCACAAGTTCCTAGTGAAGACTGTCTACCCTACTTCATGCTGACACAAACTAGTTGGCTCAGGGGCCAGTGCACTGGTGCATACTGTCCCAGGAGTGACCCATATTCACAGCTCTGTTCAAAATAACCACCCTTTCGCCTGAGGTGCTAAACTAGGTGTAGAAAGGGTCAGGTGAAGCCCAACACTTGCTTGATGTTTCCTTCTGTACTTGCACATGGAAAGGACACTTAGCTTTGTGAGCTGCTGCCTTACCAACATGGGAGATGGGGACATGCCTGTTAGACTCTGGAGAAGAAGCATTTGAGCCGTAGTGGCAAAGTTTACCTGACTTGTACCAGCCTGAACTGCTGAAATACTGGAACTGCTGTGAGTATGATCTCAGAGGTGGCGTTTTCTCTGCTTGTATGAGAGCCTTTACAGTGTTGAGGGCCATAAGTGGCTTCAGTCAAGCCTATCTTCCTTCATGTTGGTGATGCAACAGATAAAGCCTCAGTCTTTGAAAAGTGAGGTATATTTGTGTCACCACCTCCTTTGTAAATCTGTCCTGACTAAACAGCCACCTCTGTTAGCACATGTAGCAAATCCTGTGTCCCAAATCTCAGAACTGGCTGACATGGAGGCTGTGTCTTGGCAATGAGGTTAACCATGGCCCGCCCAGTGAGATAATCTGTGTCCTGGAGACTTGTGTCTTTCAAGTGGGTGAAAACCTTGCAGGGCCCCAAAGGCTCACAGTATATAACTGTGTCCAAGGTTGCATAATGAATTAAACCTGCAGCATGTAATCTCCTTTTGTCTATTTTTTGCCATTCTTGGTTCCTTGGGTTCCTGGGTTACTTAGTACATGCTAGACTTTATAATTAATTTTTACTGTACTGCTATTTCTGTAGAAGTTCAGTGTCGTTGGCTGTGGTAGATTCAGGTTGGTCAGGATTGCTAGCAAATTCCACCAGGCCACTTCTAAAGCTGGCGTAGGTTATAGACTATAGCCTATAGTCTATACTATATAATCAACCTTATTTATAGGAAAATACACAGGTAAAGTTCGTACACCTAGCAGTTGTTGAAGTGATAGCACCATTACAGAAAGATTATGTATCTGTTAATAAATGTTAACTACAGTATTGAAATTCTTCCAGCAAACAGATACAAGCCAAGGGTGTTTATGGCTGCAATGGCTGTCTTCACCAGACCTGTGCTTTAGCGTAGAGCAAATGCGTTTACTTTCTTTTCCAAAGATGGGTCCCAGTTGTCAGCCTGCACTCTTGTAAGTAGTCCTGGTATTCAGAGGGCGCAGCTGTGCTGCCTAACATAATAGGGAGTAGTTCATAGGGCTGTTTTCTGGTAGTTCTCAGAGCAGCTTTATTATGGAGTAATTAGACCCAAAGGGGTTGATGGGCAGATCAGGTAATGTTTTATTGCTGTACTTCATAGTGGTAATAAATATTCTGTTTGATGCTGTCAGATACAGCCAGGATATGGAAATGCAGCTTTCAAATAAGCAGGAATCCCTGCTACATAACACTAAGAGTGAAGAAAACAAAAATAATGCTAACTGGATCTTTTATTCTGTTATAGTGTCGTCCATCCAAAGGCCGAAAGAGAGGTTACTGCTGGTGTGTGGATAAATATGGACAGCCGCTTCCTGGGTATGATGGGAAGGGAAAAGGAGATGTCCACTGCTATAATTTGGAAAGCAAATGAGGGCTGGGTGCCAGCTCTTCTGGCATCTGTGCGTGGCCACTGGACCTCACAGAAACCATGGAGGGGCTGGGCAAACACTGTGGACTGCATTGCGCGTGGAGTACCGAGCTCTGCCTCCCACGGCGGATGGGGAGTCGCAGCTTCCGCGGACACTGCTGCAGCAGCTGCGCCCCGCCACCAACACACGTTGGGCTGCCTACAAGACTTGCAGGGAGCTCTGAATTCCCACGTAAACCTGCACTATTGATACCCAGAGAGAGAGAAAAACAAAAGGCACTTCAGAATGGATTCAGGGAGTCTCCACTGACTTTTTAAAGAACAGCCTGTGACCAATTTGATCCTGAAAGATATTGTTTTTTTATTTTAAAGAATTTATAGATTGTAAACTTCTAAGAGTATTAAAGAAAAAAAACAAACCCACAAGGATTTAAAGGTTAATCATTTTTTTACAGGTCTGATGGGAAACTTATCTTCACGGGTAAAAAGTTTTATAAAAATCTCAAAGAACTTTTTAAAGAAACGTATTTCTAAAATAAAGACATTGGTATTTTTTTCTGTAAAATATATTATGAATATTCTGTTAGTCTGTATTTAATATAATTTTTTTTAATAAACTTTATTTAAATGTAACATGTGAATACCAAATACTACACAATAATTCTAGTGTATACTTCTGTATGCAAAGAGAAAGTAAGGGTATGGAATGATTTACAAATATGTATAGATCCATATGCATACACACTGACCTATTCTAGATAATAGAAATGAATTTGTGGAGCAAAGGAAGTGTTTCCAGAAGATATTAAGTTCTTGTTTGAAGTAACTACAAGTACCAAGATAATATTTTTTTTTTTTTAATATTTTTTTAAATTTTATTGGTATTTCTAATGTACCCATTACTGAATTATGCCACTGGAAAGGATAATAGTTGCACTGAAGCTCTTGGTGAAGCATTCTTCTGTCTGTCCTTTGCTTCAGTTTGTGCAACAGGGCTTACATTTCCTCCATTTCCTCCTCACACTAATGTAGAATGAATATTTGTGGACAAAAAATTGCCATCACAGTACCACCCTTTCTATTTGCTTATTTATTTTGAAAAGCTGTATCTATTCTGTGTTGTCTTGGTAAATTCTACAAAAGCACATATTCTGTATGAGGAACTCCTGTTTATAACAATGCTGACAAGATGGGGGGATTGTGGACCTGGGTGTTGAGACCCACGTGCTTCATTTACGCTACACACAATTGTTGTTTGCTTTGACTTTGGTAGAAATTATTTGCCTGCATCTAAGCATAGAATAAGAACCATTGGGTTTAAATATTTAAACCAATTGTCTGCCATGATGTTATATGTCCTTTTAATCGGAAGAGAAGTGATTTGGTTTTGTTCTGGTATGTGATGCTTTCACATTAAGGAAGACTTTGGCAATATTTTTTTCATTGAGGCTGATTGTTTACTGAACTTCATGACAAATTCTGTATGACAATGAAATCTGGATAAGGAAAGGTGGCCTGTGAAATGTAACATCTCTGGAAAGTAATGCCATATTTTGTATATGTATTTATTTATATATTTTATATAAATATTTTATATATTTATATAAATATATAATATATTCTTATATGTGTCACTATAAATGTTTGATGTCACTGTAGAAAAAAAACATCAACACTGTTATTTCCTGTTGGGTTGGGAACTGAGGGCAGTGGGTTTCCAGCCTGTGAGGCCAGGGGTTGTGCTGTTGGAGGGGAGACTGTGGGGCCAAGGAGCCCATTTCTCTCCTGGCCCATGAATTACAACTACCCTTGTTCCTGCCAGCAATGGCAAATGCCTTGAAACTCTGACATGGAAAGGTTTGGGTATGCAGCCTGCCAGGATCGAGAAAGTCAATCACCCTAATTTAAAGCCTTACCCTGTGCATTCTTCACATCCTCCTAATTTCTATTATATCTAATGAAATTAGATCACATCATCGTTAAAACTGATTTTTTTTAACCTTAGAGTAAGGATAAAAGTATACATGAAGTGATGCTTACTCCAGGCTAATGCAGGTTTCCTGACAGATGGTTACAGAAAGCTTTGTGAGGTGAAAATTCATTGCAATATTTTTACTGCTAATGCAAATGTATGCCTGCAAAGATTTGTTGGCAAAAAAAAAATAAAATGCTGGGCCTTTTTTTAAAAAAAAGTTGTAAACCAGTTCCTTTCAAATAATTTCACAGAGGGAAGAAAGTTATATACACAACAGTATTTGGACACATAACCATAGATTTGAGAATAAGGGTTCGATTCATGGAAGTGAGTTATATCATCACCTTTTTTTAATCGCTATCTCGTCAGTCTTCTAAAAAAAAGCATCTCACCAAAAAAGGTAGATGGCTGCCTTGCAAGTGGCATTTTGGCAGTGTGCAAGAAACGTTTTAACAACCTTTGGCAGTATTTCTCATTGGTGTATTCTCTCAAGTTTTTAAGCTTTTTTGTTTTGCTCCACCATTAAAAAGAAATAAATGTTGAAGAATCTGGCTAAGTCCTTAGGTGATACTAAAATTTCTAATGTGAGCAGAGCACCATCTTTATTTAAAAAAAAACCCTGTATCTCAAGGAACTCAAATGGATTCAAGCAAGCAATCTTCCACATGAATTACTTAAGAAATTGCATTCAGCTCCTTTAGTGGTACTAATGGGTTTTGGTAAGTAACAGAAAACATAAAATTCTAAGGAAAAAAAAAATACTTGCATGGTTATGCAAGTCAGTTTGGTTACTTTGCTTCCAAGATATGTCTTTAAAACAAAACCTGTCTATAAATAGGGGAAAAAAAATATTCTCACCTGTAATTTAAAGCTTCCGTGTTTTCAGAAGTTGTCTTACAGATATTTTGATGAGCACAGTTGCTTGCACTAGTATTGGATAGTTCCTGTTGTCTATCTGGTGTTCCTGGCAGCTGGCACTCTTGGTATGATATACAAAATAGCATTATTCCCCCCCCCCCAAAAAAAAAAAAAAAAAAAAAAGAATCGGTGGCTTTTTCTTTCTGTGGTGTTCGGTTGGTTGGTTGTGTTTTTGGTTTTTTTTTTTAACATTCCTATTTCTATGAGACAAGGGTTCAATTCAATAGATAAGTTACTTGTCATTCAAAGATTTCTTTCTCATGGCTGTGTGAGCCAGTCTGCAATTCAAACAAATATCCAAACAGCAGAATGTGGGCAGCATGAAGCAAATGCATGGGTCAGTATCAGTTCAGGGGAAAATCTCCCTCCACGCACAGGTTAGAAATGCTTCCTGCTAAGAGCTGCAATGAGTGGAGGACTTTGGTTTTGGTCAATGCATTGGAAAAATACCTCCTGTTCTGGTGCTTCACTGCCTTCAGCTCAGGTGGTTTATTTTTTTTTAAGTGAACATTTGTCAGCTTTTTTCTTATTTTTAACAAGCTTTTTCAAGAATCCCAGGTGTTCTGGGTGAACATTATGGAGTCTCAGAAAAATCCTTGTAGCCACTAACATTATATACATGTCAAATACTTGCATCAGAAGACACTACAAAAGCTTAATGTGCGTACTGCAAAAGTTGCTAAATTCTTCTTGAGCATTTCATCTCTAGATGCTACATGGGTACCATATGTAGCCCAGATTGATGTGGTATTTATTTTAACCAGTGTAATAAATAGTTGCATATAATTGACCAGAATGCAAGTTAAAGCTGCCTGCAGGCAGCTCTATTATCTTTCAGACTATTTGAGAAAGTTCCCTTTTTTAATGGACCCTACTGTGCTATAGTCTTTTGAGCTCAGAATATCCTTTTCCACCTTTTTGCCATGCACACCCTTCAGGGCATAATGTTAGCTATTGGTGCACAGAGGAGGGAGTCTTCAATGAATACCAAACCCACAGAATTAATTAGTTTTTAGTGGAGTCTGAACTTTTTATGACTAAATTCCATAGAAACCCTAACACAGCATAATTCTTTATTGAACTGAGCCCTAAATTTAAGGAATGGTTTTACAAACCTTTGGGGAAATCATTTTTTGGTATCTCTAGTCACTCTCTAAAACTGTGTATTGCAAGGATGGCTCCACAGAGATTTTACATATTAGCAATAGGAATTAAAGTATGAAAAGTGCTGAGCAATTTTCCTGGATGCCAAAGCATATTAATATTCAAAAATAAATGTTTATATAGGTACTGTTTTGTATGTGGTCCTGCTGCACCTTGAGGAAATCTTCACACCTATTAATTTCTATCAGAAGAATATGCTTGCTTCCTGTATTAGAAAGGACTCATTTTTCTTCCCCTACTCCCTTTTTTTTTTTTTTTTTTCAGAGACATCCAAAATTAAGATCCAATATAGGTATCAGAGTATTACAAGGGCAAGCATTTTGTGATCAGTATCAGTAATGCCTTCATCTGCAAGTATGCAAAATTCATTCTGTTTAAAGCCATTAGAAGTATTTTGGTGGACCTGGGTATTTTCTTCCATCTGAAAAGTATTTAATCTTGGAGTCTCCAACGCTGCAGATATTAAAAAGCTTCCTGGACTTGGTTTTGGGCAACTGGCTCTAAGTGGCCCTGCTTGAGAAAGGGGGTTGGACCAGGTGACCTCCAGAGGTCCTTTCCAACCTCAGCCATCATGTGATCCTATGAACCTGTCAGGATGTGGTAGCTTGGTGTCTAGAGTTCCAGTGCATGGGATTGTCTACATTACACAATGCACTGACTGAGAAGACACTACATCTTGTTGTGCTAAAAAGGAAATTTCCTCTTAAAATGGCAAGTAGTGCAAATTTGTTGTTCCCCAGAAGTTTTAGTTTTAAAACTCTTCACTTTATGTATTATTTCTTCCACTTCAGATTTTGCAGTTGTAGAAGCATATAAACCACCATAGAGAAAATCCCATTGTAAAAACCTTTGATTTTGATTTAGATTTTTCCTTGTACATATGTTAAAAAATGCAAATTACTTCAAGGCTGAAAGTTGCAGCTGAAAAAGACTGGAGACCAGGTATTAGCAGAAGCAAAGGGTAATGCTGCAAATCTCAGTTTATCCTTGCAGAATGCATGTCCTGCTGCAGTATGTACCCTGGCTTTCCACTTCTGCTGACCTATCCAAATTCCTTAAGAGCCTTTCTGTCATGGCTAATTTCACCCCACTGCTCTCTCCATGAGTGGGGAAGGAAAGAAAGGCAGCAAAGTTATTACTGCAGACAGCAGCTGAGATTTCCTCCAGAAAAATCTGTGAAGCTAAAGAAAATGTCATTGGGAAGGACACCTTCCCACAGCCACGTGTGGTAAGACCTTCCAAAAGTGGGGTAATGAAGGGACTTGCTTATGAGAGCCAGGCTGCATGTACATTTCCCTCACTCCCTCCAACTGGAGAGCAGAGACTATTTTTGCCTGCTTATGCCACACAGAGAATATTCAAGGTGAAGGCTTGTTTCCTATGTCTGCTATGCATCACAGAACTTGCACCCAATAAAAAAGACCTAACTGACTGAGCTTAAAAAAGTTGATTATTGCATTATCAGAGGCGTGCCACATGCAACCTTCAGCCCTCAGATCTTACCATACATTTCCACAGCTGCTGTCACCCTGCTGCCACTGACATGTTGCTGCTTTTCTTTTTCTGTTCCTTTGCTGGGGCTAAATGGTGAGGGCTCAGCTGCCAAAGCAACAATAAACAGAAGCTGCAGGCAAAGAGAAAATAGGAAAGAAGATAGCCAGCATTTGCTCTAGGCCTCCAGAGACATCCCACGTTAAGATGCTTTTCCAAGGAACCTCAGCATCTACACATCAGCCTGTTGAACTACAAAGAACCATCAGTGAGAGGGAAAAAAAATCACATGTCCCCACTGGCATAATTATGAAATTTAAAACCTCAGTGTAGGCACAAATGGGCTCCTCTTTGTTAGTTTAACAGCAGTTGGAGGAGACTGAAAGAAGGAGGAAGACTGCCTGAGCTTTGCTCTGCACAGCAGAACTGCAGCAGGGATATAGGTGTGCCCGCTGGCCGGTAATGACCCGCTGAAAAATGTGGTTTGTAAGGAAGCAGCAAAGAGCCAAGCATGTGTGCAGCCCTGACCTCCCCTGCATCCCTGCTGGGCTGCCCATAGTGCCACTCAGAGGTGATAATCCAACATAGAGTCTGAAAAAGAGAGCAGAAACTTTTGCAAAATGAAATATCCAAGATACGGATAAGTTTGGACTTGTTCATTTGACCTTATTTCAACATCCATGAGCACCCTCTCCCTGGGCCCTCACAGTAGCTTACTTGCAGATGAACTTTGCACCCTGGGGAAGGAGGTAGGTCAAGGGAGGAGGAAAGGAGGGAAAATAAAAGAAAGCCCTTGTTTGTTGACAGAGCTATCATCAGAGCTCTTTTCATTACTCAGAGTGCAAGCACTGGTATGTCTGGGCTCCTGCTTGACTGCTGTTGGTTTTGGTACTTTCTGGTAATACAGAACTAACCATCTGTGCTCCCAGCAGATCCTCTCCTTCGTTGTCCCCTTCTGCCTTGACCTAACTGTGACTAAGTAATACAGGGTGACATGTCAGTAAAAAAAGCCTTCCACTTGCCCCAACTGCTACTGTTACTCACTATATACCCAAGTCTTAAGGAAGGCAAATTTACTGAACACAATTAGGTGTGTTCAATTAGATGCTCATACCCCACCTTCCTGTGCGGTTTGAATCCCTGTCAGATTCTTAATGCAATGTACAACAAGTGCATAAAATAATTGGTCTGTAAATACAAAATGGCTTGGCAAACAGAAAGCCTGTCGTCAGTGCAGCCTGGGGAGGCTGTTTAGGCTAGTGGTTTATCAGTAAAATGATAGCCAAGGAAAAGTAGACCCACTTCAAAGGTGTTGTCTAAAGACAGAGATAGGACTTGTCCATTCAATGTGCAGCATGGGCTGAGAGTCTAGCTTGGAATGAGTCACTTGGATCTTTTTTTTTTTTTACAGATTATTATTATCATTATTATTATTATTATTATTATTATTATGGGTTGGACAAGGATTAGACATTGGTATTGTGCAATAGCAAGGCAGTGATGTGGGTAGAAAAATAACGTTTCGAATTCTGCAGAGTCAGTGCTGCTAGACTGCTAGTAAAGCACAAACATCTTCGGTTCTGACTTTACAGGAAAAAAACGTTCTGTTTTAGTATTTTGTTGGGACTCCCATGTAGTGTCTGACACTATGGGAGCTGAGCACTTTCAAGGAATGCAGTAAATCTTGTAGCAAGCCTCTGCCATGTGCCATTCTTTTCCATCCCACTTTTCTCCCCCTTGAGGAAAGCAAGCTATATAAGATGCGCTTACTGTTTGCTTTTTATTTTGTGACACTCATTAGCAAGTGCAAGGTCAAAGGAATACATTGGTTTTGGAAAGGAAAAGGCTAAATCTTCACACACTCCATATCTGATCGTGTTTTGGGTTGGGTCTGTAGAAGGCTGTTCTCTGCCTAAATTTTGCCTTTGCAGAGCATGTATTCTTATGGTAGAGCAGTGACAGAGATGCTGATGAGCTTTCAGTATTAGTGTTGGCTGCCTTCCACCCCATTTTCTTTCTCTCCTTTCTCTCCCCTTGCCTCCTGCCAGCACTAGTTGACACGAATGTGTCTCTGCTCTATCCCAAAGTGATGAGCAGAATTGACTCAGTATGAGCAGAGCCCAACACCAGGTGAATGCAGGTTGTCTTGGACAGCTCTAGGGGAAAAGGAGGGTAGAAAATAAAAGTGCAGAGGGCAGTGACCTCATTTCTGTGCTATGAGCATTTTGCAGCTGGCAGTAGGCCAGGGGCAGGAGGAGGCATGGCTGGAAAAAACCCTGCTGCAGCAAACCTGTCAGGGTTTAGGCAGGAAGAAGCACAAACTGGGTAGGTAGGGTTCTCAGACAAGGTGAACCAAACATTACAGATTCTTACCTAAGACCTTCTCACCATTTTTTTTTAATTTATTTTTTTTTTAGGTAGGTAGGAGGAGTGCAAGAGGGTGTGAAGGAACAGTACATCCCCTTTACACATCCAGCCACACACCAGGTGAACTTGAGCAGTTAAGATCATCCTGTGGCACCTTCCCTGTCTCCCCATTCATTCCCACCAGGCTTGTCTTGCCAGCACAGGTGGAATCACTGCAGCAGGCACATAATGAAGCCAGGATTGCCAGCTGACTCATGCCAAAAAAAAAAAAAGGCAAAACCAAAAAGCCCCACAAACAGAAAACCACAACCAAAACAAAGGAAAACTACAGACCTTTGATTTTTCACACTGTTACTAAGGCCAATCATAAAAATCAGGACAAAGCACCATGCCTGGCATCTATGGCTTAAACGTGGTCCAAGCTCCTGGCAGCCGTGACAGGAGAGATAAAATTTCCCTTCTTTGCTTCCTTGCATTAGTCCTAATCCCAGTATAAGGAAGAGTCTGGCTCAAATCAGACAGACCATCCCAGAGCAGCTCAGCAGAAGTCTGTCCTAGTGTGTCCTGGCAAGATGTCACATGAGGCCAGATTGAAGATAAGGAGGCACCCATGCCCTGTTGCTTTCAGTGGGAGGTAAAGAGCTAAACCCCTCTAAGAAATTGTCCTGTCATGCCTGAATGCTTTATGAAGTAACTTCTGCTCCTGGTACCTAATGTTTAAATAAAAGAGTTCCCCTAAAACCCTGTCCCTCTTAAAAAACTCCAATATCTTGCAGCTAGGATGGAAACCTGCCACCCTGCAAAGCACTGGAAGTAGCTGTCCACTAGACTGCTCTTCTGCAAATAAGCTGTTCTATTAATTATTACTAACATGATGAACATTTCCACTATATATATAATGATACCAACAAAAAGAACCATCTTCTGCTCTTTTGAGATCAACCTTTACACAAGGTCAATGGGGTGAGAGCAGCCAGAGTGCTCTTAAGCATGTGCTGTAGCTGTGAGTATAAGATATCCCCTCCTTTCTTCACCATTTTCCCTTGGCAGTGCCACATGACAGTTGTTCAGTGCTGGGCGGAGTCCATGCAAGGACTCTAAGGTTCTGCCCAAATTTGCTGCTTCGTCATTATTTTGATACAGTGATTGCCAAGCATTTTGACACAGAGAATGCAGTGTTCTAACACAGTTTTCACCAGGTCTCACTGTAGATCATTACAGGGAGGTTAAATATTAATTATTTGTAATAGCAATGCCATCAACTGCTTTTGCAGTGCTTTCCTTGAGAAGATCCCGAAACACTTTACAAAGAAGCTCAGCAGTATAAAGGGAGCACTTTTAAATCCAGAGCACTTTATTAGACCCCGGTCAGATCAGCTGACATTAAGAGGCAAATAGAGCCAACACATTCAGCAAGCACAACACGTGATGCCACAGAACCGTGGTAATAGAGAGCAGAGATCTCCATGTTTTGGCTTTGCAGTTTCTACAAGCTGCCTCCCGCTCCCATTTGAAACCCAAAGCTTGTGCCAACAAATGGCAGGAGGATTTTATGCAGAGTTTCCCTCATGCCAGGCTCTTAGAAAATGTTATTACTCTCTTCTCAGGATGTTTTCTCAGGCAGGGTTGGTTGGTGCAGCCTGTTTCTACCTCTGGGACTTGCTAACTCCCACACCAGTTTCTCCATGGACAAAACCAGCTTGAAGCTGGCAGGGAAATCACTTGTTTCTCTTTTTCTCTGCAGCTACTAAGTTGAAGGAACATGTGGGGGGGGGAGGGAGAGGGACTGCATCCCATGCTGAGGACCCTCTTCTCCACTCAGCAAAAAAGAGTAAGGCCATGCTTTTTCCCAGCCTCCCTTTTATAACCTCTGACTTTCTGTGAAGGAAATGGCTCTTTCTAGTGTCTGGACGTTATCTTTTAAACACACTAATACTGCTGCCTTGGGCTTTTGAGCAGAGAAAGTCATCCAGCTTTCCTATCCAGAAAACCTTTTAATAACTTCCCTTGGAAGCTGCTGCTTTGCCCAAGGCAAAGGCTCTCAGAGCACAGCTGGGACTGGGGAGGACTAGAGAAGGGAAACAGGTCAGGGAGAGCAAAAGAAAGAAACTCAACCCAGGAAAGTTCAGGAGGCAGATTTGCAAGAGGCGTGTTTTCCCCTACGTTTCCACCTGCCACCGTGCTGTCCTTTTGAGGCCAGACTGTGGAATGGGAACATGCAGAAAGCAAGAAACCAGGACAGTGTAGAAGACATTATTTAATAGCTCATCTTAAATAACAGGACAATGTCAACATGTGAACAACTTACACCTGTCAAAGGTGGCATAGAATATCCTGTTGTGTTTTGCTATTTATCCAGTGCATATGTTTGGAAAATAGAAACAAATACTGTCCCATCAGGAGCTTCAGTATATAATCAAGGTTTAGACTTTCTTTTTTAAGAAACAGCTTGACACTGAAACGGAGTTGCAAAAGCAACATGATACATAAACAAAACAGGTTTTAAATAAGTTTCTAAGCATGTTCTCTACCGAAAGCTATTTTTTAAAATTCAATTTTACATCTATAAATACATAGTACAAAAATGCAAGTATACAAGCCATTTTTCCCAATAGAGTTTTAAGTAGCAACATTCCTCCAACATAAGATGCATATATTTTGAGGGCAATAATATTAAGTATATACATATAAAGTATTAAGTATATACATAAAAAGTTATGAAGTGTCTGAGGATATAAATTAGTAAGAACACACACAGACAAAAATACATGTACTGTGAAATAAATAATTCAACAGCTTTACATATGAAGGTATCTATAATATACAAACAAAATATACAAGGTTGTAGGACTTGATCTTGCAGATGCTCGTATCTGTCACTCGAGGATCTGAGTAATTCCACTGCAGTAAAAAAGCTACTTTATGGGATTACTCATATGCTAAAAATTAGGTGCACAAAACTACCTTACTGAAATGGCTTCTGACTGAAATGGCTCCTGACTAGCCTAGGCCCCACAGAAAATTTGGTGTGAATGAATGTGTTCAGTTTTATTCTTGTGAATTGAGATACTGTTGGCATTCGGGGTCTCCTTTCATTTCTGGAGATCCAGAAATTCTTCTTCCATTATTTGGATAGACACACCAGCATCCAGCAGACTCTCCATCCAGCGAAGTTTCACACTAGAATATTATTAGTAAAAAAATAAACCACAATAAGTAACTGTAAGCAGATTACCTGTGAAATACTGCGAGTAGAGGTGCTGGACAGAACTAGGATCAGAAGGTGGAGACCTGCCATGTACAGACTTCTTCTGAATGTGCTAGTCGCTGCTCTGACAGAGCCTCTGACCAACACACTTGGTTAGGGAGACACAACCCAAGCTCAGCTACCACAACAGCAACTTCAGATTTGAAACAGTTTGCCCACTCCTTGGTAAAGAGCAGTATAAACCAGCAATCTCTTCTAGCATGAGAAACCAAAAGAAGGTAGAATATACGAGCTGGCAGGGTTAGAGCAATAACTGGATAATGTGGCTCTTCACACAAGGAGGCAAATAGGGGTGTGGTTTTTTTTTTTTCTTGGGGAGGGCATTAGATTTCTATCTGTGTCTGATTAGATCCCAGGTCACAATGTTTGTGAGTCACCCAGTGGTGCCATGCCCTAAAACAAGGAGTCTTGCCGACACAGATCTATGCAGACCTACTAAATTTGTGTGCATGACCTGTGGTTGCAAGGGTGTGGCTTGAGGTTTGGGGCTTTAGTTACGCTTGCAGATTATGCTCACCTTGCAATGGTCTTTTTTTGAGGCTATAATGGAAATGAACATATAACATAATCCATATGCAGCACAAATCAGTATTTTTGTTCTACTATCCGAAGGCTAGTTTTGCTGCAGAGAGTTTTTTCACTGCCTGAGTGAATTTTTCACTGCCTGGGAGCTGAGAGTCTCCTTTCTTCGTAGCGATTATTATATATTCAGTGGACTGCAGGCAGTATGGTAGATATTATCAATTAATGTCAGCTGGGAATATGCTAACAAATCAGGTACATGGAGCTTGAGTTAGCCTGAGAGCAGACGGGGTTAAAAGATTTTGGAGAAGGCCTTGCGTGCACCTGTTCTGTGAATGGAAAAGACTCCTGCCTCTATTGCTGTCATCCCACAGCATGCAGCTCACTTTTAAGAGAAGGACGAACCATCTGCTCCCACTACTAAGTATCCCTATTTTCACAACCTGCTTTTCCAGCAGCTGCAAACTTGTGAGTTTGGGAGCACAGGACTATGAAAGGGTTGGCTGTGTCAGGCTAGTTGCTGCGCTGCTGTGAGCAGACAGGGGAAAAAGCACGTACCTGTTTGCTGTGGTAAAATCCATTCTTGTTGCAGTTGGGCAAGTAGAATTTGTGAATCTCCCCTCCGCTTCTCTGCTGAGCCTTTGCCAATTTATACAGGGCTCTGTAGAGCTCCTTCTGACAAGGTCCCTGTGGGAATGCAAAGGTTGTCAATACCAAAATCACGAAGAAATCAGCTAAACAAAAAATGATCAGTATAAAGCTAGCAAAAAAGCTGAAAATACTTATTAGTCATATAATCTGAACCAGGCTGCTTTGCATGTAGTTTTTACTTGTTTCAGTAGGAGCACAGCCAGAAAACTCTGGTGTTGCATTTAGGCCTTTGTTTTTATTCTTTGAGGTATTTTCTGTCCTCAGAAACATGAGGATTTAAGTTCTTAAATTGCCACACAAGGAAATTTAACCTGTACTAAGTAAACACATTACTGCTCAGAGGGTACAATCTCTCCTATTATGGGGAGGTGCATGTTAGGAGGCTGGCGTACGTGAGACTAGCCACGTTTTCTGGGTTGCCATGGCCCTGTGCTCTGTTGATGTATGGAGAATAGGTGCAAGACATATATAGACTGTGCAAGAACAAACATCTGAATGTTTGTTATCTTTTGTACAGGACAGAGCTGTCGCCAAAGCAGAATAAAGAGCACCCCTGCGGCTCTGAGACCCAAACCTAAAGTCCCTGGAACTGGGGATGAAGAGCTGTTTGCAATATTCACTATTTTCACAATTTGCTTGCCCCCTTTTTCAAAGTCACAATGCCACCCATTAATAGTACCCAACATGTTTAAATGAGTTAAAGGGGAGGAGAAGTGACTGAACAAATATTTTTTCTTTAGAGTGAAAATAATCATAGCCTCTGCTTTTGCAAGACCTCCCCGTGTCAGCCCCTCACATAAGTGTTCTTATTCAAGTCAACAGGTTTATCTGTGGCTCTGGCTGAGAAAAGCAAAAGCCCAAGAATCAGAACTGGAGCTAACAGCATTTATGTGTAATAGTTCTAACTAAAATAGTGGCTAAGTCCCGTTCTGGATATGGAATGAGGCTTCACCCCCATGGGGTGGAGTGGTGGTTAGTAGGTTTGGGTTTTGGGTTTTTTTTCCATTTTGTCTGCGACCATTACAAAACTGGTCTTGTGTGGTTTCCAATTCTAATTCAGCTCGTGCTGCGTGTGTGCTGGCTGCCTGGGACTGGTCTAACTGTGATTCTCTGGTGCCATCAAGTGGAACACGGACACGCTTGCAAAGGCCCCACACTCCCATTACCCACTGCGATTTTGCAGTGCCGAAGGTAAAAAGCTTACTTTAATTACTGAGCTTTCTGTCTTTTTACATGCATCTACTCAATAGTGTTTCCCTGTGATCAGAAACGCGTTCTGGTTTGCACTGGTGTTTCATCAAAAACTATGAGTAAGGGCTCCCTTTGATTTCACTGAGCACTGGACCAGTGACAAATGCCTTTTATTTTTTTAACTAAACCACAAAAGGAGTCCAAGATTTTAATACAGGCTCCTGGAAATTAAGGGCCTGTGTTATAATCTCATAGTAAATGCAGAGAAAGGCTCAACCTCTGCATGGAGTCCATATAGGATATATCTGATGCACACCTGTTTTTATTGCTGCTGCCATTTTGCCTTTTCCTTAAGCATTTAATGAAAGCATTCCAAAAGTCTGTTTGCTGACTACCCAAAATACTGACAATTGCAGTGTTGCTGCTAGAAATTCATGCACATTTTCATTCTGTATTCTGAATCAATAGCAACTATTGAAATGGTCTCTGAAAGGTTTGCAAAGAAAACTCACCTGCTCTTTCCATTTCTTGAGTTCAGATATTCTCTTTGCTTTCATGTTTTCATATGCTGTGATGGCATTCCAGGGGATGGATTTGTCCTGGCCTATGGGAAACATCAACTGATAGTTCAGCAGCTGATCCTGTGTCATTTCAGTGCTTTCCAAAGGCATATCTTCAGGTTCAACAGAGTCTGGAAAGGAATGATATTAAGGTGAACATCTTCAGTGAACTGTTGCATTTATTCATCCAAGATAAAAAAGAAGAAGAATCACCAACAAGAAGTAATACCTAAGACAGGTACATTACAGTAGCAATCAATTACATATGCTGCACAGCAAATTAAATTTTTGTCATAAATTCATAGGTAGATGCATTGGCTGTTCTCTAAGAAGTTGGTTATTTTACAATCTTTCAAAATCACTCTAATGCCAAAGACAAAGCTGCAGCCAGTCTGTTAGAAATGAAAAAACTTTCTTTGACCACAGTGGGTTGTAGAGACTTTGCTACATGAGGAAAGACTGGAGTAAACTTGTAATGAATTTAGATTTTTGTTATCATGATGTGTTTCTGTTTTTATTCAGGAGGGGAACTGGTCCAAACCTGATCCCATGGTATCCTGTGCTTTGTTCTGTGACTTGCCTCACATATAAGAAGGGGTAGCAATTCACAGGAGCCAGCGGCAGCTCATGCTGGCCTGCAGTGGATCAAAGAGCCAGGGATTGGCAGAAGCCGTTCGGATTTGCCTGATCATGGCCTGAACGCCAGTGCCTAACTCAGTGCGTGTGAACTCTCATGCTGGAAGCAATAGAAGGTCTTTGCAATTGCAGGGACTCGTCATGGGATAAAAGTTTGACATGTGTCTATATAACTTGTTGGATCAATGCTGTAAACAATTATCCAATGGGCTAAAACCTGTTTTTCCCTTTGACCATGTTTAAGAAAAAATGGAGGCAGAAAATTGAGGATAGAAACAAATAATAAAACCAAGGGAAAAAGTCAAATCCTAGACCTTTTTGACTGCAGGAGGCTTAAACATTGTGTCACCGTTCTCTCCCCTCTCACAAGTACAAGAGAAACTCCACTTAGTACCACCAATGGCCATTGCAGAGTCAACAATTATTTTTGTAATGCTATTGAGCTGCCTTAATCACCACTGCAGAAACACAGGAGTAATGATGAGGAAAATAATAACAAACTGTAAAATAATGAAATAAACACTGAAGAAGTTCCTGATCATCGTGTAGCATCAGATGCTTGATACATCTTTTTCCTCAAAGACAGTTTGGCTAGCGGTGCACTACTTTAGGCTTTATTCCTGAAACGAAGGCAGGCACAAAGCCTGTTTAGGTCTTTTGATTCTCTGGCATGACTTTTGGAGACGGACATAACCTCTAGAACACCCGTCCTGCTCCAGTGGCTGTTTACTACCAAGGAAGAACCGTCTACCGCTTCCCAGACACCTTGTTCTGAGTATCCTGCATCGCCTCCTTACTACGGTTGAGTGCTCTCCCGCTCGCTGCCGGGCTGCCGACACGCCGCCGGCTCCGCGCCGGGGCGCGGCTCGGCCCGCACTACCCGTCTTCCAAAGCACCGTCATTTTTTCAGGTCTTTGGCGTATTTTCCCTTGCTGTCAGGCAGCTGGCAGTATCTGAAGTGCCCAGGCAATTCCAAACAACTGGCAGCCTTTCAGAAGCCAGATTTTTCAGTTTACCCAGTAAGATAAACAAAAGATAAATTGAAAGCACCCATAGATTATAAAACATTTTGAAGGTGTTTTTGGTTTTGTTTTGTTTCCTTTACGATTGCAGGTCAACTCTAAATGATGGCCCAGTCTTTTTTCCCTTTCTGTCTTTTGTACAATTAAACTGAGGAAACCTAAAACTGATAAAACAGTCTTTATGAACAGATGTTCTTCTGCACTAAAGGTAGATAAAAATCAGTCACTTCATATTTCATTTATATAAATGTAATGAACATATGTTAGAACAGGTTATGACAACTTAGGGCAGTATCAATCAACAAGGCAATGCTTTTGTACAGGCCATGGGACATTGATGAAGTGAAAGTAGTGTATATGTTTATGTAGGCTCTGTTTGATGTAATACTACAACTCATCTACCAATCTCCATCTCTGACCCTGACATTGCTTTAAAGAACACGAACAGATAAGAGTCAGGAGGTTAAAAACATCCATGATGTAAAGTTGTGTTTACTGAAGACTTTTGACGGTAATTTTTAGGTATTCCAACTGTTGTCCTCTAATTTGAACCATTTGCCAAAAGACACTACGTGAATCCTAGGCAAGGGTTACTTTTCTACAAGACTTTTCCCATTGGTTTCTCGGTAATTCTTAGCAAATTACTTCATTTTGTGTGTTAACTAAAGTTTGGGATTTTTAAATTTTTTTTTCTTTAAGGCCACATGAAGTGACCCACAGAACATGAAGTTTTATATAAATTTGTGTACAAGTGATCGTTATTCTCTAATCACCAAAAGTTCAAGTGACTTGCCAAATAATTTGCTACTGGGGCTGCTTCTCTGTATGTGTTTAAAAAATCCCAAAACAACCAGGGGAATTGCCTCATTATTTTTCTTTAGGTAAGAAAAGAATCCTGAATTG